CCTCTGAAGCTCTGTTCTCCATGCTCACTGCCACTCTCCTAATGCATGCTGTTGCTGTTTCTCCCCTGAACTATTCTAGGAGCTCCCAGAGTGATCTCCTTCTCTCTTTCTTCATTATGTGGCTAGAGTGCTCTTTCAGAAACCACATATGATCCCTTTACCACTAACCCAGTTACTACCAGTTCACAGCACCCATTATTAAAGGTTAAGCTTCTTAACATGTCATAAACGCACCTTCATAATCTGGCCCCTGGCTGTGTTGCCAGCTTTATTTTTCAGCAGTCATCCCCTTGAACGCTCTGAATAAGCCTTGTTCCATGTCACCTTGAGACACTTGCAAATACGATTCCGGGTGTCTGGAACACAGGCCACACTACCCACTCACACCTACTCAGGCCTGTGCCATTTTGTCCTGCTCACTGCTGCTCATCATCAGATCTGCTTCTGAGAGAAAGCCTTCCTTCAGGAAGCCTCCCCTGATCTTTCAGGGTGGGTGGCTGCTTCTGTCTGCTGTATATCTCCAGGGTACCCTGAGCCTACCTCTTCTCTCTAATTACTGAGTCTTGCCTTCCTAGAAGCTTCATCTAGCAGCCCCCACCTGTAAGCCTTTATAGGCTCAAGTAAGTGAACGAGAAAGAAATTCACTTGCTTCAAAGCCATACGACCATTTAGAGACCGAGCCAAGCTGAATTGGGGTCTCCAGAAGTTTCTTGTCTTATTGAACTACATAGTTGGTGGGCTTTTTGGTTTTGTTTTTAACTACAGCCAAGCAGGTTTGAAGTCTTATCTCCCATCCCACAGTGTGTCTACTTGCCATTTTTAGCCTAATTATTTGAGCTATTCCAGATTGCATATGACTGGTTCTTTTTCCTGCAAGCTGTCGGCTGGATCGAGTTTGTTTATGTTTATTTTGCATGATTTTATCACATTTAGTCACATTTGCTGTACAGAAATGGCAAAAGCCTTTACACTCACAGGGTTGGTGAGGATTTTCTCTTCTCTTTGATTTTAAAATCACTTCCTCACCAGCAATTTTGCAGAGGATAGCAGAGGGAGGGATAGGAGCATACTGATGCTGCTTTAGAAAGATAAAAGCAGAAAGGCTGAGCATCTCGCTTAATGGCAGGCTCTGGAATGACAGTTAAAGCTTATTAAGGTCGGTTGGCCATTTGCAGAGTATCTGAGTTTTCTAAATGAGCCACAGCATTGAGTTCTGGTTAATTTTTATAACTTTTTTAATAGGACACATTAGCACTGTTATAAACCTTGTTAATTAAGCAGTAATCTCAAATGCTCCCTCGCAGAGGGAGACATTCCCGGCAACGGCAGGTGATTAATATCTAGAGTCTAACAAAAGCCTTTTAATCAACTAGAGGGGCCCATTTGGCGCTGTTACCCCCAGGAAAAGAGAGTGATTGAGATTCCTTGGGATACCTCTGAAAACTCTTCCTCCGTTTGCACCTTTCTCTTTCTACATCTTCTCTAAGGGCCAAAGCACACATTTGGCCTCCTTCCCATTCTTTTCCTCATTCCCCACCTTTATGACATTGCAAGGAACTGGAGACATTGAGCTGGAAGCATCTCCTTAGATTATGAAGTTAGAATCGGGTTTTAATAGATAGGTTGGGATACACAGAGGGGCCAACTCTGAGATGTCGGCTTTCAGCTAGATTTGATGACCTGGTCCTCAAAACAGGTTTTGTTGTGTTTTGTTTTCACAGGCTATCTCCATTAATTGGCTCATGCTCCAATAAACAATAAAGTCTTTATGTCTATTTTCTCCTGATCCTGGGCTGGAAGGGACCACCCAAGTTTCCCAGAATGTTGGAGGAGACAATGTGCTTTTAACATTTGTGCTTCATCAGAGAGGGAAACCCAGGCCAGAGTGGGAGCACAGAGGCAGTAGGCACAGTGGGGTCTCCTTGCTTGATTGGGGAAGTTACCAGATGGCTGAACTGGAAGAATGAGTGGGACTTAGGCAAGTGGTGGGTGCAGCCAGGGTATTCTGGGCAGAGATGAGCAAAGACTGACTTGCTGGGTAGCCTGCGGGTGGGAGGGACGTACAGGTTGTTTAGAGTGTCTAGAAAGTAACTAGTAAGGCAGTACAAATATACAAGAAGTTCATGGAACAGTTCCATTCTATTTTAATTCCATTTTTCCACCAGTGTTTGGACGCCCCCTCATGTAGCAGACGTGGGGCTGGAAAGAAACAGGGCCCTCTACCTCCTATCTCTGTCCCTACAGGAAGGCTAAGACAAGACAAAGTGTGGATTAGACAGGCTTAGTGCAAGGAGCTCTGGTAGCGTAGTGGTTATGAATTGGGCTGCGAACCTTAAGGTCAGCGGTTCGAAACTACCAGCTGCACCGCGGGAGAAAGATGAGGCTTTCTACTCCCGTAAAGATTTACACCCTTGGAAACCCTATACAGGGTCGCTATGGGTCGGAACCGACTCGATGGCACATAACAACAACAACAAGTGCAAGTACAGGATCGCTTTGTGTCGTAACTGACTCAAAGGCACGTCACAACAACAACAATAAGGGGTGGTCAGGAAGAAACAGCAGAGGTCAATAAAGAGGTTCTTAATGTCCTCTCTGTACAGAACTCTTGTCAGCAGTGGGTGGATGGAGACACCAGAGAAAGGAAGTGTACAGCATGCTCACTGCATGGGCAGCAACACAGAGTATGGGGTCAGTAGCTAGTAGCCTTTGGATTTTGCCCACACCTACTTGCTTTCTCTCGACCCAGCTTCTCATATATAACTTAGCAAAGCTAGCCTTTATGGTGGTGGTGGTGGTTGTGTGCTGTAGAGTCAGTTCAGACTCATAGCGACCTGTAAAGAGTTTCCAAGGCTGTAAATATTTTAAGGGAGCAGAAAGCCTCATCTTTCTCTCATGAAGAAACTGGTAGATTTGAACTGCTGGCTTTGCATTTATCAGTCCAACTGGCAAATCACTGAAGCACCAGAGCTCCTAAGGTCCCTTCTAATTTTAACGTTCATCATCTATATAGGATTACCTGTTGTGAGTTGTCTTATAAAGGCAGTATTTCATGTAACTCCTATAGCAATCTCATATGCAGTTGTCCTTCCTGGTTTGTAGGTAAAGAAGCTTAGGTTTAAAGAGTTAAAGTTCTTGCCCAAGGTTACACACCTCAGTGGTACATTCCCCATGCACACTCCTAGGCCTTTTATAGCCAGAATTTTGGGGCCCCTCAGATTTCCCTAGAAAATGCATGCATCCATTCATTAACTGAACATGTCTTTACTTAGTTTTCCTCCTATGCCAAGCACTGTGCTAGGCACTGGAAATGAACAGTTGTATATACAGTGGTGTGTTGAGATCATATTTGGTAAAGTAACGAGAAGGTCAGTGAAAGAGAGGAAGACCCTAAACAAGATAGATTGACACAGAGACTGTAACAATGTTCTTTAACATATAAACAATTATGAGGATGGCTCAGGATGAGGCAGTGTTTCATTCTGGTGTGCAGAGGATTGCTATGAGTTTGAACCAACTCAACAGCACCTAGGAACAACAACAGAATACTTCTGATATTTCCATACAGTTATGGAGTTACTTCCTGTGGTTAAAATTTTTTTTTAATTTATATGGTTTTTATATTTTTTTAAAGAAGAAAAAGGGTTTTAAATATTTATATCGTTTGAGCCTTGTGGCAGCCTTAAGAAAAGTACTCTATTGTTTGTTATCCTGGTTTATGAGATAAGGCATCTAGGGTAATGATTTACAGAGAGTACTAGAAGCCAAGTGAAGTCAGACTTCAGCCAGACCTTGTTGTCAATTCACTCTTTGCTTCATCACAGCAAATGGTAGACTCAGTAAAAGAGTGACTGTTTATCAGTCGTAACTAGCACAATGAGATACCACTTCATATCCAACAAGCTTTCCAAACCTCACTACTACAACAGTGCTTGTATAAACTACTGATGGGAATACCAGTCAGCACACCACTTTGGAACACAATTTGCTTGGTATCACTATTAAAGTTGAATATGCATAAACTCTGCCTTTTAGCAATTCTATTCCTTAGTCTTTACTGGAGAATACTCCAGGAAACCTGTGCAAGGGTGCTCCTAGCCGCATTGCCGGTAATTGTAAACACTGGAAATCATCCAAATAACCATTTTCATGGACTGGATAAACAAATTAAAATCTGTAGTCAGGCAGTGAACACTAGTGAAAATGAATGGCCTACAACAATAGGTTTCAAGGCAGATAAATCCAAAATTATAACGCTGAGTGGGGAAAAAAAGCAAATCAGAAGGATATAGAGGATGTATTCATTTGTAAAGAGGTTTAAAATAGGAGAAAGTAAATAATATGTTATTTAGGGAGGCCTGGTGTGATGCAGTGGAATAAAGCACTGGTCTGTTTGAACCACAAAGTCGGGTTCAAGCTCATCAGCCACTCCTTAGAAACTCTATACAGGGTTACTATGAGTAGTAACTGACTAGATGGCACTTAGCAACAACAATAACACATGTGCTAACACTACAACAGAATTTTTCCCTGGTATCAACAGTGAGCACTTTGCTTATTCTCTCTTCTTACAGGTAAAGCTTTAGTTCAGAAAAATCTCTTAAGGTATGAAGAAGAAAACAAGCATGTTCCTAATCCCTGACCCTTTAAAATTTGGCCCAAGTCAAAGGAATTGTTGATAGACTTCAGGAAAGGGCAAGAAGGGATTGGTGAGGGACAGTCAGGAGCTTCATATGGGATATTTCCTGTTCCTTAAGCAGGTTCAGTGATAGAGACAAGGATGTTTTTATCATTCTTTTAAAGTATAAATTTTCAGTTTGTACATATTCCTTTCTAAGTATACTTTATGATGAACATTTACAAGTATAGCTTTGCCAGATGCATGAAATGATATTCAGAGAATGTGTTAATAGCCATATTTTCATTTTCCTTCGTAAAAGATTTTCACTCAAATTCACCATTAATCCTTGGCCTTCTTGTTTCTTCTTCTCCCCATCTAGAGTGTTTGTATGACAGAATAGCACAAGAAACTGTGGATGAAACGGAAATTGCACAGAGACTCTCCAAAGTCAACAAGTATATCTGTGAAAAAATCATGGATATCAATAAATCCTGTAAAAATGAAGAACGAAGGGAAGCAAAATACAATTTGCAATAAACTTTGGATTTTTCTTAAAGCCTCTGCGTTTTCCTTGAGTAGTGTATGATTTGCGGGTGATGGTAACATCCAAGTCAGAGACCCTACCATTCATGGTGGGTGTGGGTTGGAAGCTAGCAGAGTTCTGGGAACAGCAGCGTGTCTTGAACTTGGATTTCTCACAACAAAGAAGGCACATGGATTTGCTGAGACTCAAGCAGCATCCTGGAATCCGAGTCATTCTGGGAATGGGAAAAGCACTGCCTTTTCTAAGGCAGACAAAATTGTCCGCCACTTGTCCTGGAAATTGAACTGAAATTTTCATCATTCAAGGACTTCTATCTCTGTTCTTTATTTTGTTCGATAATAAACCTTCATTCATTGTTTGTTGTAGACAATCATTATTTTCATTTATTTAATAATATTAAGTGTCTAGTGGTGATCACTGTGCAGAACAGCCTGAATGCCCTTCCTTTGAGGGTTGGAATATTCAGGCTGAAGGAGAAAAAATTCATGAGGGACCTGGTTTGCTGTCTGCAGGTCTAAAAGGCTGTCTCAAAAGCAGATTACTCTCTCTGACTTCAAAGGACGAATGTAGGACCATGCGCCTTTCTAATTCAAGGTGATAGAGATTCAGCCTTTCTGATAATTTGAATTAATCTTTGTAAAAGGGTGTCTGAGGGTGGGAGTGATATTCAGTGTGGTCCAGGGAGTTGAGGCAATGCCACTTGGTGCAAGGTTTTCATCTTATTTTGTTTTCTCAAATGATCTTGAAAATTACATAATCTTTGTGTCTTTATTCAGTTACTAAGTCTCTAAGGTGACTGGTGTAATTCTGGCAAACTTCATTCAATCTTCCTGTTGACCTGCCGCGTCCTCTGCAAGTCTAGGGAGTATTTGCAAATGCTGGGGCTTTGGATCAGCATTCCTTGGTTCTGAGCCAGGTTCTTCTGCTTGCTTTGGACTTAATCTTTCTGAATTTCAGTTTTCTTAACCATTAAAAAAAAAGAGCTCTTTATCGTACAGAAAACTGAGATTCAGATATTAAGAGCAAGCAGAGGAGCCTGGCTCAGAACCCAGAAGCAGTGGTCCAAAGCCTGGAGCATTTTCAATATACAGCAAGGTAGATGGTTCGAATCACCAGCCGCTCTGCGTAAGAGAGAGGAGGCTGTCTGCTTCTGCAAAGATGCATAGCTTCAGAAATCCTATAGAGAGTCACTATGACTGGGAACTCATATAGATAATTGCTGGTGTTAAATGCCTTCAAGTTGGTTCCGACTCATACTTAGCCTGTATAGGGTTTCTGAGGCTTGGTGGAAACCTTTGTGGGTCAGAAAGCCTCATCTTTTTCCTGCATGGCGGGTTTGAACCACAGAACTTGGGGTTCGCACTCCAGTGCTTATTCTATGGAGCCACCATGCTCCCTATTTTATATATATAGATATATGCGTAACTGGTAGCATAGTGGTTACGAATCGGGCTGTGAACCGGGAGGTCAGCAGTTCGAAACTACCAGCTGCTTCGCGTGAGTAAGATGAGGCTTTCTGCTCCCGTAAAGATTTACAGCCTCAGAAACCCTGTACAGGGTTGCTATGAGTCGGAACCGACTCGACGGCACATAACAACAACAACAACAGTGGTTATAAATCGGCCTGTTAATCTCAAGGTCAGCAGATCGAAACTACCAGCCATTCCACAAGAGAAGATGAGACTTTCTGGCCCTGTAAAGATTTACAGGCTCAGAGACCCTATGCGAGGTTGCTCTGTCGGACGGCATAGCACCACCACCATGTTTGTGTGTGTGTGTGTATATATATATATATATATATAGTTAAGTTCTGTGGAGTCAGTTCTGACTCTCATAGCAACCCTATATAGAGTTTCCAAGAAGTGACTGGTGAGCTTGAACCACCTACATTGCGGTTCAAACCAACCTTGCAGTTCAGTGCAACCAGCACTCCACCGCAAGGTTGGTTTGGACCACAAGGTCAGTGGTTCAAACTCAGTAGCTGCTCTTCAGAAACCCTATATAGGGTCACTATGAGTCGGAACCGACTCGGCCACACTTAACAAAAATAACATATATATATATACATATATATATATATACATATACATATATGGCGGTAGTGTGCCATGGAGTTGGTTCCGACTCATAGTGACCCTGCATAGGGTTTTCAAGGCTGTAATCTTTACAAGAGCAGAGAGCCTCATCTTTCTCCTACAGAATGACTGTATATATGTGTGTGTGTGTGTATAAATACTGGTATGACCCTTTAGGATAAACACTGGACTGCTAGCCTCAAGGTTGGGAGTTCAAACCCAATAGCTGCTCTTTGGGGACCTATACAGGATCACTGTAAGTTTAACTGACATGGCGGTATTTTTTAAAAAGTGTGTGTGTATATATATACTCAAACAGTGTCAATCATTATCTTCAGTTTTGATTATTGGCTTTTGAGCATTGGTTGGAAAATGGCTTCTGGTTTGTCTATGGATTCACCTTTAATTGTTGGCCTATAAGCAAAAGCTCAGTGTCTCTGGTGGCTTCCAACTGGGGAAACGTAGTAAATAAAATAACCCTGTGTAATGTGAAACATCATGCGCTTTCTAGGCAACACTTGAATTAATTGTGAACCTTCTTTCATGGTCTTCTAGCTCCTCCACAAACTAGCTATGTGATCTTGGACCAATCATTTAGCTCTAAGACTATCAGTCCTTATAATATCATGAGGAAAATGAGGTCTGTATCACAGACAATGTGGATAACTTAGTAACAGTAATAATAATGGCATTTACTTTATACATACCAGGGCTGTCTTAACTGTTTAACGTAGGTTAGTTAACTCATCTGTGAGCTCCCTGACACTTAGTAAGGGTTCAGTAAACTCTTCTTGCTCCGATGTGTTCATTTTAATAGCACTGGCCACCTTAGGCATGATGAGAAGTGTAAAACGTACTAGAAAAGATTATACATCATTCTTGAGCTCATCTACCATTTCTTCCTAAGCACAGTGGGGACAAAATACCTGGAGATCCTGCTCTCTGCCATTCCTTGTAAAGATGTACACTATGATTGGTACCTGCTTTATAAGTATTTTAGAGTTAATGGGAGGAATAATCCTGAAAATATCATCAAAATGCTAATGCTATATGTGAAAGTACTTTGTGTGATAGATGATCATGTGTTAGGAACAAAGCAGCTGTGAAAGATGGGGATCTGGGTTCAAATTCTAGTTTTACCACTTTGAGACTGGTCACTTGGAGTCTCTGGGCCTCATTTTTTCTAAAGTAGAAATAATAATACCTTACCTGGGGTTTTTTGTGGACAGTAAACTCGAGAAAATGCTCTGTAAGTCATAAAGATCCACATAGACTCTACCTGTTAGCCTCCACATGTATATGCCTCCGCAACTCTACCTATGTCCAACAGAACAAAACACTGCCTAATCCTGCTCCATCCTCATAATCATTGCTATGTAGGAGACTTGTTGCAGCTACTGTGTGAATCCATGCTGTTGAGAGTCTTCCTCTGTCATTCATTGGCCCTCTACTTAACCCAGCATGGATTCCTTCTTTAGGGATTGGTCCCTCCTGGTAACATGTCCAAAGTACATAAGGCAAAGTCTTACCATTTTAGATATACTTCTTGGAAGACAGATTTGTTCATTCTTCTAACAGTCCATCGTATTCAATATTCTTCACCAATACCCTAATTCAAAGGCATCTATTATTTGGTCTTTATTCATTATCCAGCTTTTGCATACATATGAGGTTTTGCATACATATGGTATACCAAGTATACCATAACTTGGGTCAGGCACACCTTAGTCATCTTTGCTTTTTAACACTTCAAAGAGGTATTTTGCAGCAGATTTGCCCAATGCAATGTCATTTGATTTCTTGACTGCTGCTTCCATGAGTGTTGATTGTGGATCCAAGCAAAGTGAGATCCATAACAGTACCTCAATATTTTCTCCATTTATCATGATAAATAGTCTGCATGTAAGTCAGGCTAAACTCAGAAAAGGATTTGAAGAGGAAGCACAAAGAAGTCAATTCTTACTGGCGATTAGGAAAGGTTTTACATAATAAGACATTTTCTTGAGCCTTTGTTATATAGTAGGTGCCTAGTTATTTTGTGAGGGTAATTTTTGTATCTAGTGTACAAATGAAGAAACAGGTTAATAATGGTTCATTACTTGCTCAGTATCCCACCAGTTATCATCAGTAGAACTGGATCAGATTCCAGGTCTGTGCAAATCATGTCCTTTTACCTCTTCCTTGGAATATAAGTGGGAAAGCATGATCTGAGTTGAGAGTATATTTAGAGGAGAACCAATGAAAAAAGTGTAGTCAATGGAAATCAGTCCCATTAATTCATGTCATTTGGAGAGATTGTGAATTACAGCACTGTTTATAAGGATTCATAATTTTATTGCATTTAAATACACAAAATTCAAATTGATTTTGTAAAGTAGAATGTTTCCCCAAATTGCACCATCTTAAGGATTTGCTGAGGCACTTAAAATACAGATTCCCAAGCTCTGAATTGGACAACCTCAATGAATAGTTCAAGGATAGGGCTGGGAGCTTATATTTTAAACACAAATATCTTAGACTATTCTTATAATCACCCACTTTGGAAAAAATACTAGCCTAGAAGTAATTGGAATCCCTAGGTGGTGTAAATAGTTAACGTACTTGATTGCTAACGAAAGTATTGCCTTTTTGAGTCTACTCAGAGGTGTTTGGGCTGGTCGGGAGATTTACTTCTAAGATTTCATTCATTGACAACCCTATGGGGCACAGTTCTGCTCTGACAAACACATGGGATTGCTGTGAGTTGAAATTGACATAACAACTGTAGAAGTCATTAAAGGATCTGCTTTGGTGAAGGATTAAGAGTGCTCCCTATGTTAAAACAGAACAAAACAGATGGTGCTTCTAAAGTACTTAAGGATATATAAACTTGAGAATACATATTCTCTTAAATAACTGAGAATCTTCTCTCCAAATGCCATTTAGTTGGACTAAATAT